CTATATTTATTTAACAAAAAGCTAAACTGCAGAAGTGGTATGTGAAAAACTAACTACACCCATGTAGCTTGTAAAACCGCCTTTAATAACAATAACGTGAAGTAATCATTTTCTGTATGACTATCAGTCTTTCACATTATTGTCGAGGATATAAAAGACTGATACATGGCCTTACATGTGACTCTAGACTGATGTACAGAGGAGTTCACTGTCGACTTAATGGCTGCAAGGTGTCCGGATCCCGTAGCTGCAAACTGAGCCCACATATTTACCCCTCCACCACTGTGCACGTGGAGATATCCACAGCTGGGAAGATTGGAAACCGTCTTAAATGTTTTCCACTCATGAAAAAACGGGCAATGCTCCAAACCAGCACTCTGCCAAAATCTCTGCTTTTATAGAGGTGCAAACATTTGCTAATTAATCAATTAATCAAATGTATTTGGTTAGCGGCACCTGTCGGCTGCTTTTCACACACTGCTTCTACATTGTGGTTTAAGCTTGTTATGATGTAATATCTGAGGTTGTGGTTACCCAGTTTTAGGTTATTTTTTATGACCTGATAAATTAAACCACAGAATTGCAAAAGCGTCTGCTTTCTTTCCACATGACTGTAGATTAAAGTTTTAAGGCGTTTAGGAGTGGCCTCTCATACCAGTGTCCTGACTACTCAGACAAGATTTTGGGATAGCAATGTAGTGAAAGCAAGGGGAGGCATGTGAGGAACAGATTTCTCATGGACTGAAATGCAGTCACACTGAAGACTTTTGACCCAGGCCCCATGAAAATCTCCTTCCTCTGGAAAGAATGTGGCCTAGTCTCCCCCCTCCTCTGATGTCCTCTCTCCCACGAGACAGTGAGAAGCTCCAGTCCCTCTCAAATGAACTGGGATTTGCTACATAGATTTCTATTGCCATTTGCAGAGTGCCCCGTACATGTAGTAGTTTGTCAAACATGCCCAGAGTATCTCCTATTTTTCCTCCCCCACAAAAATCCATTCCCAGAATCTTCAGTGTGACCAGATACTATAAAACATACTTTTGAAAAACAGGGAGCAAGATTGTGATGTGTAAATGCCAGTTTATTTTCAAAGGCAACTACTTGACATTGAAAATTCATTTATTTTATTTAAAATTACATAAGATGACAATCATTCTGATTAGTGGATTATTGAAAATGCCAAGTATTACTATGTTAATTCATAAATGTGTAGTAGATACTCGTAACCAGTTGTGGAATGCGTATGCCATTTCCAGCTGAAGTTGCATTCTTTGTCCTTTACATTTATTTCATTAACCTTCTTTTCATTTTTCTTTTTGTTGCTATTTTTTTTAAACAAAGAAAACTGCTCAAATATATACAAGACACATTTAATTTCTGCCTGGATCTTCACAGATGAAGATCTCTGTCTAATAATGAAGTATTCTAGGTCACTCTTCTTTCCATCACAACACACACATGTACACACACACTGCTTTTTGGCACCTTTGGTTCATTTAACATTAAAAAAAAGGCTCTATTAGCATTAATGTGGGCACTTAGGGTGAGACAAACCACTGTTTTTAGATCCATACACAATTTAGATTTAGAGGGTTTCACTTCCTTCATGAATCCTCTGATGGATTCACATCAGCTCAGTAGATGTGCTCATGTCTGTGATGGGAGTGTCATCAGGGACATTGACATCTCTTGGAATGAGGTCACTGCCAAGGTCATTTCCTCTCAGCTCCGAGTTCTTTGGGGTTTCACTAATGCTTTCCTCGTTGACATCACTTCCAAGCTTCTCCAAACTCTCTTCAGCCTCCACCTCCATCGGCTTTTCCAGATGTGCCTCTGCTGGCTTCTCTGGCTCAAGCATGGAAATGCCAGCAGCCTCATCCCCATCTTGGCATTCCTCACCTGCTGGGAGGACTAATGGCTCGTCTGGATTGACTGGGACAGGGATGGGATCTTGGGAGGGCGCGAAATCAGGGGGACCAGAGTTGGTCAAAGGGGGCAAAGAAAGAACCGGTTCATGGAGAGACTCTTGTGTTAGTTGATCCGGCTGCTGCTCCAGATGCTCCACTGAGGCTGGTGCTGGCTCTGAGATGGGCTGGACTATCTCAATGTCTGGTTCGGAGTCAGGAGCAAGCTCAGCTTCAGCAGCTGGTTCTGAAGGTGAAGGTGTGCTGGCTGAGACCTGAGGTTCAGGTTGGACTGGGGCTTCCTTTACCACAGGTGCTCGTTCTGTATCATTTTTCAGGGCTGAGGCACTGGAAGCCTCTGCTTCCTTAAACTCCGCGACACATTCTTCATTGGGTAAACACGCCACTGGTGTCACTGGCTCTCCCACCACCACATCTAGATCCTCCGTTTTGGCAGCTTCGTGAGTCTGTGTAACTGCAGAGTCATTTCCTGGCTCCTTTGTGGTCTTCTCTTCAACAGCCACAGTTTCATGGGTGCTGGCTGGGGTTTCTCGCCTTCTGCTGAGCCTGTTTCCCATAATGAGCCTGTACAGAAAGTCAAAATGATAATAATAATAATGCCAAGAGAGATGCTTATTTGACTGGTGGAGATGAAATTTGTGTGTTTTAGTACATTATGTTCTTCTTTGCACTGTGTGCTCTATTTTTTCTGAGATGTCTAAATATATTTCTGGAGAGCTCAAGGACCAACTAAAGGTGTTGACTAAAGCACTTGTTTGATTAATCCTTTACTTCCTGTACCCTGATATACACATGCCGACCACAAAAAAAAAAACACAAACAAAAAAACACTCTGGACACATCATGACCTGTGCAGTCACAACTTTTGACCACTTCATAGACTTTCAGTCAACATCCCCTTACTTAAAAAGGTCAATTAAAGTCTTCAGATTGTTGTTTTGTCTTTCTTAGATTCTATAAAATAATATGTTCCAGTCGCTTATGAAAACGAAGCATAACTCGCATAACTAGTATTATGCGCTACTAAAAAAAAAATGCGAGCAACATAAGTTAAGCAGTAAACATTAATATTTGGTAATCGCGAAAGGAAAAACAACTTTTGCAGACGACCCCGCCTCCCTGTCGCGGTGCTCAGACTGTTAAATTGTATCCAAATAGTAGAGAAGGAGCAAAAACACTGTGGTTAAAATGTCTAGGAGGATAATAGCATTTCACCAACCTTTGTACTTTTGGCGTTGCAGCAGGCCTATATATATATAAAAAGTTGCTGATGATCCCTCTCGTGGAGGAGACTGCTTGTTAAACCGCTCGAAGTGCGCACAGCAGAGAGGAGCTGAGCCCTGCACAGACTGCTGAGGCGCACATTCTCCTCGTCCACGGTGCGCGCTCCAGCGCGCAACCACTTAACTTCCTGAACCAGATTGGCTTCGTTGCCTTTTCTCGGTTACTAAACGTAAGTAAACAACAACAAAAACGATAATAATAATAATAATAATAATAATAATAATAATAATAATAATAATAATAATAATTAAAGGATCTGCCTTACTCAGTCAAACTAGATATTATGCCGTTAAACTAAACCACTAAATCGTGTGTTATTAAAGCCCTGGACAGTTGTAAATTTGCTTATAGAAAGCTTATGCATTAGTTGTTCAGTATAGTCATGACGACAGGAACATGAATACAGTTATATGACATAAGGCCTTCATATTGGGGAAGTAAACGTGCTGATCGGCTGACTGAGGCTGAGCCCAAAACCACTGACACATTTACTGTAACATCAGTGTGTTCTTAAGCTGCAAGACAGTCAAACGTCTTTAGGATCTTTGGTTCTTTGAGCTTCTCTTTTCTGCTCTGATCTACATCATTCTCATGCTTAGTTTGCAGAATGTTTGTTTTGACTGATTGCACGACTCTTTATTTAACCTACAGAGTAGTGAGGATGTGGCCTGAGCAGAGAGCCCAATGTGCGGTGAGGAGTCCCGCGTGTCACGTTCGTGGGATCTTTCTGCTTCTCCTGCTTGTCATGGTTCAGATGATAATCTCCTTGGTGCCTTTTGATGGTGTGTTCATTCGCTCCGATAAAGTCCTCATCAGCCCCTACAGATTCTGTCAGATCCAACAAACTGGTGAATGGTCCTGTGATAATGTGTATAAGAGTCACCTGTACGAGCGATCGCAATCCCAAGGAGCTGAAGCTGAGACTTTATCTAAGCCACATTCTAACTCTGTCAGAGTAGCGGTTTACCTAGCTGTGTATGTTCCAGTGATTATTGTGGCGTTTGCCCTGATGGGCATGCATTCAGTCATCTCTGACAAAGACGAACCTGCTATCTTTTGCAGCACGACTTTCCAGGCCGGAGCAGCCTTGCTCACCCTGGCTGGCCTTTTTAGTTTTTTGTTTGTCTATCAGTCATATGTGAGCTGGCAAAACATAACTGTTTGGTTTTATATCTATTTGGGTGTGGTGATAGAGCTGGCTATCACATCTGCACTGACCCATGTGTCAGGTAAGCGACTGAGATCATACTGGGAACGCAGCGAAATGCTTAAGCTCATCCCTGCTTAAATGCAAACATGAGCCACAGACTGTGCAGTTTAAATAAAGCGATTAATGTTGTGATCATATCACAAAGACCTTTGAGTGTGTCAGTAAAACTAGAAAAGTACTATATTAATGCAATTACACACAAATCTGCTTAGGAGAATATGTTGATTGCTGTCATGATGTATTTAATGATAAGCTGTATCCTTCAACATGTTTAACGTGTCTTTTGATGCTGCAATATCACTTTGTATCTCTTTACCAAGTGGTTTATGAAAGCCAACACACATAATGTATAACACAACAAAAAATATGGTCTGTTGAGTCTGAAATGCACAGCTGGTGGATGCATGAGTGGTACCCTAATTGTGCTGACAGTTATTTCTATATAAGCTGTGAGGAATAAAGAATATATGTATTTTTTCAAAGTGTGTTCTTATATCTGCTACCTCATATATTCAAGGAGCAACAGTAATGTGATTTCTGTAACTACAATTTCTAGTTAATTCACATGAATAACAGTATGCTTTATGTTTTGGCAGTTTAATGCAAAAGCAAGGCTTTTTTCAAGTTTCTCCCCCACAGAACTAAGCCACTTGTACTGCAGCAGTACCGTGCTCAGGGTACTAGCAGGAACTTGTTAGGTCTTCTGGTGGAAACATTTCTAACACCAAACCTTTGTGGTGAAAAACCCACAGATGCTGTCAGTTTCATATACAGTGGCATGCATGTGAAAACAAAAAACTTTGTTCCCCCCATTAAAACCTTCAGTAAACCTAAAAAAAAAAATGCCATGTTGTCAATTTTAGTGTTTGGACCCAAGTGAGAAAAACAAACAAACACAACACTTAAGTAACTGTTACACTGTAAGACACTAAAATAAGTAGTTCCTCTCACGCGAGGTGCTAGATGCTGCCACTGAAACATAGACTGAAGTGCTGAAATTTGATTTCAGTGCAGAAGCTTTGGTGAATTAATTACTTGTCTCCTTCTCTGGATGTAGTCCTGTGAAGCGCTGCTGGGATGTACCTCTCTGAGACACCACTTAATGGATCCATTCTCCAAACTGCTTCTTTATGGATGAGCTGCCAGCTATGTGTCCTCAAGTACTGACTGGACTCTCACCTGAATTTGTAATTTAGGAAGCATTCCCCCAACTGACACTTTTCAACTTTATGCAAAAACTTTTTAGTGTCATTTAGATAAGTTAATCAGCTGAAAAAAATTTCCCGTACAAGGCGTAAGGCGTCGCTGTCCTCTGCTGCTGTCTGCGGTGGTTCATGCGTCTTCCCAGCCTCCACATCCTCAACTGTTCCTGAATGCCGACGCTCAGATGTTCGATGCTGCGGGCTGCTGGTGTACGGTAATGTTTCTACCTCTGTAATGTCCAAGTCTGATTCTGAAACATACGTCATGTCCAGATCTTCAGTGCAGTCTGATGGGGACTCCTCTGCAGGAACTGAATTCGCTGTCAGCTGTGAATTTGTGGATTTCCCCATCTTCTTAACTATGTCCACTGCTTTTTGTTTACCCTGGGTGTGGGAGAAGGGGAAATCAAGCAAATATTACACAACAGTTAAGAGAGTAACCCACATGTGATGATTAAGAGTTTAACTGCACACAGTAATATTGGATATAATGGACTTTCACATCATTATATTGCATGTATAGGGCATGTAGGGAAAAAAAATCAAAGGTCTGAAAAGAGAAGCAGCACCACCTGCTGGTGAGTCACCAGTGTCAGCTCCTCACATGAGCCGTTTGTGAAATAGGAAACAGCTGCTTCTACCAGCTCTTGCTCGTTCATACAGTAGAAAACAGACCTGGGAACATATAAGTGGATTGGGTAAGTTTTAAAAAAAATTAAGGAGCTTTAAATGGGGCCTTAAACCGACCCCGATCGTGTTTCTTACGATAACTACCTGGCAGCTTTCCGCTTTCTCTTCAGTGGCTTCTTTTCTTGGCTTTTCTCCTCTTTCTTTGCCATCCATGCAGGCAGCGACCTGTGTCTTTCTGACATGCCGCGCTCTTTACGTCGTACGCAGCTTTACAACACTTCGAAAGTCTGCCGCAAAATCACGTAAAATGAAACGAGACTAACCTGTTTACAACACGGTTTGCACGAGCTCTGGTGCCGCTGACAACCCTATAACAACCAATCACAGCAGAGAGTAACCGTGATGTCACCGGCTGACAGAGTCGCTAGCGACACCTGGCGGACAAGAATGTAATGGCACCATACAGCCACGACAACAAAGGATTAGCAAACGGCGGTTTTCAAAATAGTGATTCAGACTTTATTGTCCGCTAGATGGCGTTAGAGCGCTACTTTTTTTTCATTTAACGCCTGTAAGGAATCCAACCCTCACCTTCACCCATCCCGCCCTTTGATCTTAAAACTTGTAGATTTGCTTTTTATTTCAGCACTCATGAATGGAAACATGTAATCTCACTGTCTGTCCCAGATATACAATATCTGAAAGGACATTGAGAAAATTTCTCTGACTTCAAGACTCACAAGTCACAGTGAACTCACAGAACATGTGTATTCCCATACTTTAGGATCAACAAAAATTCTAGTAAAATCGTGACATCATAACATTTATATCAAAAAGGTCAAAGGCAAATTTCCCAGTAGCATCATATATTCTTGACATTATTTGTGGGTATAATTTAAAGAAACCACATGCTGCTCCATGAGAGATTGTGACTGTTTCACATTTGTCTTCATTCCGCAGTGGTGATAATAACATTTTGTAACCAACCTGAGTGGTGGGCAGAGGCATGAAAACCACAAGGTAAAGTTTTAGTATGAGGGAAAGGAGCCAGTGTTTGTACAGTATCTTCCATATTTTCCTTTCTTCCCCCTTATCTTACATTAATATTTTGGTACATGGTGCACTGTACATTCAGAACTGAGCTTGACACAGATTAAGCTGTTGTTCTTACTGCTGCTGAATCTGTTTTGAAAAAGGGTGAGAGTGAACCTGCTCTCGTCTGTGAAAAGCACGTGGCACCAGTACTGGTCCTGCCCACTAGAGGATGTAAGGCCAAGACCCCATGCTCATGAATGTTTCTGATTGCTTGGTCAGAGACATTCACACCAGTGGCCTGCTGGAGGTCATTTTGTTGCTCTGGCAGTGCTCTGGAGCAGATACTAGTCATGCTCATGACTTATAGATCTTCTACAGCTCTGTACAGGTCTCTTAGAATAACTATCTGTCTCCTGGAATCTCCTCCACGCTCTTGAGACTGTACTGGAAGGCGGAGCAAACCTTCTGATCAATATGTGCCATTGCACATATTGATCCTGGCAGGGTTGGTCTGCCTGTGCAACCTCTGTAGAGAGTAGTGACACTGACCCTAACCAACCAAACAAAAAAACAAACAACAAACATACAGTCAGCTAAGATGAGGAGGAAAAACACATCACTGGCCTCCACCTTTAAAACCATTCCATTTTTTTTGTTTTTGTTTTTGTTTTTGAGGAGTATAAATAAGTGAATCTACAAATAACTTAAAAAAAATAATAAAACAATTCTAAAAGTGGTAAAGAAGAATGTGAACACTATTACGAATAAAACAATAAAAACATCAGTATAAATAAACATTAGATAAACATCATTAGCCAGTACTTAATCAATAAGAAATGTAGCTTAGCTCCACTTCAGTTTATGATAAGTGGATGGCACTGATAGCAGATTGAGTTTGACAGCTTACAGACGCGCTTCAAAAATGCACCACTATCACTGAAAACAGTTAGTCTAGTGGCACATTTCTGTTAATGATCCTTATGCTCCTCCAGTTAATACACAAATGCATGGGCCCAAATGTTAAATTATGTGTTCTAAAAAACTTACAGTTATATACAGTATACACAAAATTCAAGCACAATTTGCAAATCTCTTTCTCTTTCCATATCATTGCACACTTACTTGTGCACACATATGCTCGCTTTATTTTGCTGGAAATAACCAGGATCACAAGTACTGTGATTGTGATTAAAACTGTGTTCTAAGTCTGGTCTAATCTAATTTCCAATCTTTCACCCAGGACTTTCTATTGTCTCAGCTCTTCTGCAGATTCAAGCACAAAAACGCAAACGTAAGCTAAAATAAATAAATAAAATAATAGTAATCTTTACAAACCAGTACCACTTTCTGATTTGTGTCCTCTCGCTTTAGAGATACAGTTAAATGCTTGTAGCTGTTAAAATGGAATCTGGACATGCTGGAGTGCTGATGATCACTAGCCATGTGTGACTTGATCTTACGGGCCATCAGTAGATAATCTGTCCAGCTGCATGACACATTTCTTTCTCGCTCTTTCGCTCTACTCCTTTCTCCCCCCCCTCTGTCCTTTTATCCTCCTCTTTAAATCACTGATGTTCTAAACAACCTTGCATCAGGCTCTCACTTTCTGTCACTTTGTACACCAAAGCTGCCTTCTCTCACTCTGGCCTTTTAATTATGTCTCTAAAGCCCCTGCCTACAAGCGCTTAGGCTTTGATTACAAGGACCGGCTTTGTATGTTTGACTAAATTAAAAAGTGGAAAAAAGGGACACAAAAAAAATCTCAAGGCAAACAGCATGTTAACAGCAAGATGTGTTCACAATGTAATTTTCCTTTAAGCTCTTAAGTTCAGTGCATTTTAAGAAAAAACAATAACCAGCAGCCTGAACTGGCAAGAAAACTCCTCAAAATCTCCCACGATATTATTTTTATTTATTCTTACAGATTGCACCGAAAAGGGGCTTTTCACCAACAACAAACTGTATTAGTGACTATAATTTGGAATAGCTTTTAAATCCACCAAACATGAATTATGAGTTTGTCACTTTTAAAACGCCTCACTAACTCTGTGTGGGGTATTTATAACTTATCATCATCATCATTAACTCAGTGGCATCACTGCAAAATCAAAAAAAATCATATATAAATGATTTAAACGTAAAGACACACGCACGCAAATCTGTGTAGACCCCAATATTGTATTGGACTCATCCTCCTCCAGGCTTGCTGCCACATCCACAGATCAGGCTGTGCTAAGAAGATTTCTGTTTGCCAATAGAGTAAATCTTGTCGCTGCTTTTCTAGCCTGCTGAATTTGTGGGTCAGACATGCCCGAAATCTGCTAAACTTGAATATCACCTCCATGATTTTGTTAAACACTTTTTAAATGTCTTTTTCAGTAGTAACCCTGTTTTTTTAATTAATTACTTAATTTTTTGTAACATCTTCTTATATTAAATTTTCACACGGTAGATTTTTGTGAAGTCGAATCATTTTAAACAAACCTATCAGCTGTTTATATCGTATACTACTGATCAGCAGTATCATTAACCTAATATTGTGCGGGCCCCTGCTCTGACCCACTGAAGCACAGTCACGGCACCTCTGGGGATATCCTGTGGTGTCTGGCACTGGGAGTTTGGAGTCAGTCAGACCGGGATCTGATGAGTTTTGAGGCTGCGTCATCATTGTGATCGCAGCCCTAGCTGTATGACGAGGTGCATTGTCCTTACAGAGTGCCATGGCGGGAGGTGGCTGGATCTATGGCAATGTTTAGATGGCTGACACGTGTCAAAGTAGCAGCCATACAACAGCCAAGAGTTAAGGTTTAAATGTAATTATATAATATCTGATTTTCCATAGGCTTGTCAATAACATGTTCTTCTTGCTCTAATTGGTATGAAGCAGAGTAATCTTATCGTTGTCTTCCTGAGATTAACCCTGATTTGGGTAAGGGTCATTGCCATTGGCCATCTGGCTCAGAAGCCCTCCTTGTGATTGGCCATATGGCGCCAGAGAGCGAGATTTATGAAGAGCAGAATGTTTAAATTGAATGAAAATTTTCCACTGAATGATCTTATCTGTTGGCACAGACACAAAGCCTTCTCGCTATGGCATAGCTGTGGATTTGCAAATCTATACAGGACCAGGAAAGAGTATGTTTGCAGGTCTGGCAATACTTAATGTAACACAACACAAAGAAGAAAACCTGACACTTAAGGAAAAGCAGAGACATTTTTTTTTATCTTTCAGGTTGCATTTGGATGTTGCCACAAAACATAATGGAGCCAGTCATTCCCATTTTCCAAGTTCTGGATGTGTTTACACGTAGGATGTGTGAATGCAGCCTTTCACTCTTTTTATTATTTGTGTTTGTCTGTATGTTTGATTGGAATTCATCATGACGTGGCTACGATGTGGTTTCCCACGTTAATTTGTAATTCCTTTTAACATTTTGCTTTGCTTCATAAACAGAAATGAAGGAAGAGTACTGACAACTTAAAAACACAAGACTGAGATTAAAGAGAAAAAGCTGTTTTTTTTTGGTATACTTAGAACCAAAACTGATTTCATAAGAATTTTGCCCTGTGATCTTCTAAAAGCTTAATCTATAGTTCTCTTTCCGACATTTTTTCTAATAGGGTCGTTTTTCTTGCCCTTCTTTCTTTCTCTAATCTGTTGTCATGTGGGCCCGAGATCAGTATATTGTTTAGTGTCAGCGCTTCGTGCTTCCTGATATCACATATGTCTAAATCTCTCTAGGAATGTGTGTTCACAGTCAATGGCTGGGTCTCCTGGGTCAACGTGACTTTGAACCTTAAGCTGGTTCTTATGTAAGGCTTCATCTATGGGGATGATTAAACATCAGTTTACATTTCCTTGAAGATCAGGTTTTGCACCAACAGTTTTTAAAAAACCCCAAGAACAAAGAAAAGGAAAAGGTCAATTATGCCACAGGTCTGCTGATTAAAGATTTTTATGGCCCACACTAGAAGACCCAAGTTGGTCTCCTAGGCTGAGTGTAGGATTTAATGCCGCAGACAGTGCGTGAGGGTGATTGGTTGTGACATAATCTACGGCTGTAACATCCAGTGCCCAAAGGCCGTAAAATCTCCAGAGCCAACCCCCCCTACTTTATGATGATAAATAAGGAGTTGCTGGGATGCAGTAATCTGTTGTTAAACTTGAGACTTGAAGGCTACTGTGCTGCTTCATCGGCAGTAATAGGCCAAATCCATTGGGATTTCCTGCCAATCACAGGCTTGTGGTGGGATCTTAATAACTTTCCCCTGGAAGCTGATAAAACTGCCTTTTTTTTCTTTCATCCGAAATTCATCAA